TAGTAACCGCTGGTCGATCTCTAGCGGACTGAATGTCCCCGCATCGGAGCTAGCCCCGGCAATCGGGAGCGGACTGACGGAGGCCTCACAGTCCCTGTTGCAGCTCCACAGTCTGATAGGTGACAGTGGCTTATACCTGATGGCCATGCGCGTTCGCCTGTAGCCTGATTAGACGCATAGGGATAACTATGACCAGTGAGCACGCGTGCATCTGTGTCCTCTCCAGAGGCTAAGGTCAGCCTGCGTGGACAGTCATCGCGTTTAAGCGGTCAGAGCGAACAAACAAAGACATTTAGTTAGGCTGTGCGCCTCAGGAAAGCCTACAAATATTGCTAGCATTTGGTCAGGCTAAACTCTTAACATTAATCTCCCTAAACCTATTGACAATTAGATGAAATGCTCCTGTCAGAACAGGTTTTACGCTATCCAAAACATTTTCTTTATTATTCTGAACAAATGACGTCAAGGGGATCCTGGAAAGGGCAAAATTATCACAGGATAAAGTACATTGATATCGGTAACAGAGTCCTTGGGAGCGGTATTCACAGGGGTTTTATGGTTGGCTCATGTCACAAGAAAGCAAAAATGCATTGTAAAAGTTAAGCAAAAAACGGAAAATAATAGAAAATGCATTTAAATAACCAAATATTTGTCTCCAGAATTAAAATGACAAATGCAACCTTTGGGAAACAAGATCTGCGCAAAAGTACCTGAAAATTGGTTTAAGCCAATATCATCTACATAGCAATATTAAGAGATCAAAAAACAACCATGAAAGATAGGCTTTCCCCTTTTTGCAGAGAGTGATATGAGCTTACTGTGGTGTCGTAAGGAACAAATGTTAGTGAAGACTTCTTTGGTGCAGAAAAAACCCTGATTTTCGTGTTCCCCCCGAAAGTTCTTCCGCGCAAAAGCGTCGGGAGCGTTGGGAGGAGGTTTACTATATTTATCACTCTCTCTCTCTCGACTACGGTTGTTTGTCATGAACGCTGTTAGGCTAACTGAGCAAGAATGATGTCTAGTACGATAATATTGCAAGGGAGATTTGCGATACGTGAATAGGTCTATCATACGCCAAATACATCCGAAGTGGCAACAATCAGAACATGTTTTAGGATCATCTGATGATGGCTAACTGCTGAACCTCACATTTCTATTGCAAATTCTACCTGATTCTTCTTCTGAACAAACCGGCTAACTTTTCACTTTAGACGAAATTTCAATCTAAGTGTTGTTTGCAGACGACTGCGTACAAGAACCAGCATCCAGAAAACCCACAAAACAATATTAGTGAATATATGGGCTTCGCCGATCTGGTAGAAGAACAATTCAGTTTCGCTTAGCTTAGGAGCTCACAATTAGAGCCCGCATAGGGGCTGAGGTAGACCAAAGGTCCCCGGTTCGAATCTCGAGGGTTCCATCCCTTGAGATTGGGTATGACTGGCTGATGACTGCTAACAAGCCAGAAATGGCCATTTCGATCTCTCTTTGCTTTGTCGGATCCATTTCAGAGTATAAGTGTCTAAAATCGTTCCCCTGCAAACATTTCGTGGCTAAATAGTTCCCATTCGCTCATTATTTTTTCACTCACCAGACATGCATCAAGATGCCAGTCTCCTTCGTGTTAAATTTGACTTGGAGTCCGAACAAATTCACGGAAAGAATGTATGTATTTGTCTTCAGAGAGATTAAATGCGGAGTAAATCTCACAGGCCTCCAGTCATTCCTGGGATATCTTTTTTTGGATGGAGTCCCTGGCGCACATTTTATGGATCGATGCTAGAAATCAGTGTCGCCGTTAGCATTTCTTAGCCGTGCACGTTTCTTTAGGCTTGTCGTTCGCCCGGGGAATGGCAATAAAATCTGGTAACCATGAGGAAGAAATAATCTACTACAGTTACTTATTTGATTTAAGTAGGCATGTTATGCTTAGCTTAAAGTCGGGTTAGTCGATACATTGTGGGTCGAAATTCGTAATTTGGATAGCGTTTTAGAGCTTATATTAGGATGGGGAAGTAGTTTAGGTCTTGGGGCTATGATGAGGTAATGTAATAAGAGATTAGCCTTACGGTTAGACCTAAGATTTTATGGTTAAGGATTAGGGTTAGAGTTGCAGCTTAGGAGGTAGGGTGAGAGCGAGAGTCAAGGGGTTAGAGCGTTAGGATGTGGAATTTATATTAAGGCTAAGAGTTGAGGTGAGGGTTTGTAGTTAGCGTCATATTCAGGGTTGTCCTCCAGGGTTAGAGCGTCATTGGGCATGAGTCCATTTGTGTTCCAGCCGTAAACCCCTTCTTACAACTTATCTCGCATTGTGGGGGGTCGTTGGTCGGAGTTTGCTCATTGGACGTCTTACTTACATCCTCGCCCTGTTTTAAGCTGGCGTACACAGCGTCGTGGTTATTATAATCATTTTAAGAAGTGCGAAGTGCCACACGAGTTAACATATTGGGCTCAGAATAAAACAACACTAGCCCATCAGTCTTTCTGAAAGGCCATCAGGGTGGAAAACTGATGCATGTCTTGAACCAAAGCGTTAATTTTATTATCCAAACAAAATTTTCATTCTTTTTTTCTTCAGGTGTATGAATCAGGCCTGGAGGAGGCGACCGCAATTTTTCGGAAGCCGGACGCATTACTCTGTCTAGCTAGGCAATTGGCAAAGTCCAAACCAGTTTCGGTATGTTCGCAAGCTTTTCGTTGAGTGTTTAGTGCACTTTTATTCTGCGAAATGTTAATGTTTCGTAATCATGTTTTTCTATTTCAGGCCACCTATCACCCGCCGGAAGGCTGTTCTGATCTTGAAAATGCAGTTGGTCTTATCGATCGTCTGTACGGTGTAAGTAGTTTACTTTTACTTGACTGAACTATTATAATACAAACTGATAAGCGCATTTACTGGCGACTCAAAAGAAACGTACAAAAGTTCGTGGAACTGCGAGTGTCGTTTTGCTGGGAATGTGACTGTTGTTATAGCCGTAGTTTCATACTCACATTACAATGGGAGCCTATTTAATTCATACCTTTATCCCTTACCGACAGCTGTTATATTCAGAGGCATATTTTGAGAGAGTGGGACATAGTGATTTAGCGCATGTTCCCAGAGATTGTTTTAGCCTCATCAGAAATAGTAATCTGATTCATTCGAGGTAGGCTTTATAATTCGATGGCATCCACAGTCGGAAGAATTTGAGAGGCCGAAAACCGTCCAGGGAAGCAACAGCAGAAGTAAACCCTCCTACAAAGGAATGGTTCCCTTTTCTTGCCTAAAGGATGTCTGACAGCTTCGTATGGCATCGGTAGAGCGATCCTACGGTTGCTCGAATTGACAACAGGGCCTCGTTTATCAATCTCATCATTTTGCTTTCGGTCCAACCAACTACTTCTGCACTGTCGAAGCCGAATTGATTATTAGTGTCGAGGCCATATGTGCCGACATGCAATTGTGTACTTCTTGCGTTTTGCGGATAGGGGTGCTCACGTATGTGCGATCTTAGCTGTTTGTCGGTCGTGCCACAGTAGTTGACTGAACTGTTTAGACAGTTGGCGTGTTAGACAACTCCTGACATTTCCTTGGACTGATACCTTGAGCTGCATGAACAAATACCAGACAGTAACCTCCGGCGTGTGAGCAACGTCAACGTTGGGGGGCCTTAGCATGACAAATACGTATATATAGCATTGCCGGCGAATAAGAATGAGACTGGATTGGCCGTTTCTTGTTCAGTAGTCGTCATCAGTTGTGACCCATCCGAGGTTCGAACACGCAGCTTTTTACTCAGAAGTCTTACGCTCTAACCATTGGGTCACTGGCTCGTTAACTTGCCGGTTTAGATCGGGAGGTATTGGCAGTCGTTGATTAAAATTCACTGATCGGTCAAGGGAACTCACTCGCCCAATTTTCCATGGGACTCATTTTCGAGCCCCACCAGCAGCGGAAGAAAACAAAACAGGCCAAATCCTGGGGCCACACTGTTTCATTTGTTGAGCATTGCCACTTGTTTCTTACTATGGCCGGGTCCGACACTCGCTGTGACTTGTCTGCTCGTTACCAACTAGATTTGCCAACACCTTGACAAGGTCCTGCCGGACCCGCCTTACACCTTTTTGTTGCAAAATCGACCTGCATACTTGCAGTTTTTGTTGTTGCACCCAATAGGTAAGTTTACCCCTTTTGACACCTGCGGGTAAGCAGGTGTTCATTGCCTGGTGTTCGTTCTAGCTGGATCCTTCCGTCTTCTGCTTGGTTATCAGTTGGTAGAATGGTCACAATTTCTTCGCATTTCTGTCGGCTTTATCCGGAATGATGTGTTCCTGGAGCTATTGCTCGCTCGCTTTGTTGGTGTGGTGCAGGTCCATTGTTTCTTGGAGACTGCTAAGCAAGGACCAACTATCGGACTAGCCACTTTTTCATTGGTTCAGGCAATGACTCTCAGTTACCTAAGTGCGAAACCGTACCTCCCCCTGTTTTATATGCCCATATACCTGCAAGCTGGTTCTCATGAAGACTTGTGTCGAGAGGTTTGTCTGTTCATTCAACATACATCTGGGTGCATTTATGCAAGGTATGCTGCAAAACACCACTTATTATTCCGTCCTGGGGTAGCTTATGATAAGGTCTTAGTAATTGCTATTCGATGCTGGATTCCGTTTTACGAACCATGCCATTTATAAAAGAGTTCGGGATTCTAGCTATTGTCTGTGAACATTTTCACACATGCAATATTTAACAAGAAATTCGGCATCCCGCCGTTTGATAACTTACAAAAGTGTTTTTAAGGCCTTACTTATGCAATACCGTGGGAGATGGTTGGGCCTGTATAGATTTTTAAATTGTTCATTTCGGCCTACGTCATCACTGTAGTGCGTTTGAAGCCGTTAAAAGGAAATTCTAAGACAGCTGCGTTTGTGGACAATTGGGTGATTACGTATCTTACATTGTTGTCTCATGGAATGCCCAAGTCTTATCTCTATATCCGTCAACCTTGCAAATTCCACATCAGGGAAGGATAACTGACTGGCGCTCTCTTCTTCCATTTCGCATTGGATACTATTGAATGCAACAGTATCTCGTAAAAGCCCCCACACAATTCTTTTTGATTAGGGTAAACCTGTCATCGGTGTATCTGGTCAGTATTTAGTATCACATCAAGCTGATCAGTATTTCAGAAAAACCCAGTCCTATGATATGCTGATAGGCGTCGCGATCGGCAACGAAGTTTGAGCACAGTCTTAAGTATATGGTAGTTGAGATAAACGCGAAGTGCATAGATCATATTATCTCCTGTCTTCCGTCATTCGAAAAAAATATGTTTCTTTGTGAGTCACGTAAGCTTAGGGTGGTAGTAAGAGCACCCTTCCCTCGGAATTTAGCCAGAGTAATTTAACTCGTAAGAAAAATCTTCGTAATCCGGACGGTGGAGAATATGACTGATTGATACCGCCTATGATTGTCAGAACCGGCGACTAGGCAGTTCACTTCACCGATTTGCATAATCAAGAAAAATGGAACTGCTTTTGTCAGATTACTAATCATGGAGTTTAGTTCAGCAGCTATTTCCCTCATACCCGAGGTCGCAGCTTCTGCAGGGTTTCTCCAACGTCTCGTTAGCCGAATTAAGGGAGTACTGCAGGACTTTTTATGTGTACCGGTCTACGTTGAGGGCTGACTGGATGTCTATGTACCATTTAAATGCTAGTATTTTGCCGCAGGCTAGGAACAACCTAAGAATTAAACTTCATCTAGCGATGGTATCTCAGTTTTCTGTTTTATCCTACTTAATCCGTCGCTTGACGAAACAATGACCATACTATCATTACCTAGAAAAAAATTGTTATGACGCATTTTTTACCTCTTTTAGTATTCACTAGCTAAACATTCATAGACGAAAGTTGTTTGCAGATTTTTTGGTGGTGGTCGTCCTTTAAGATAGCCAAAGTGTCGTCCTTTGAAACTGCTACTCATCGGTTTGTTTGCTTTCGCGCTTGCCGCCGACACTTTAGAGCGTCCAATAAGGAAACGTGGCCGTGTATTAACTTAACTTTTTGCCTGAAGGAGGGAGTCAACTTGAACCGTCATAAAAGCCTCATTTGATTCTACACACTCAGCATTTCGAAAAACTTCGCGAAAATCCACAGGTGTTTCAGTAAGACTCTGTTCTGCTGATTGAGATTAAAATGATTTACTTCAATCGCAATTATGGCGGTCGGTTAGCAGCTGTTTCCGCAATATCCTTCCCAGCGGTCCCGAAATAGCAACCAACACTGAGCTCACTAGGAAGAACATATATGCTTCCCCTTAAGTTCCAGCGTAAACCAGGAGCTTAAAATAAAATGAAACTGCAGGCTTTCATAATGTGAATCCTCAGTGAATAGGGTATACAATTTACAGGGCATTAGACTTTCATCGTAAAATCGTAGCACAGGAAGATTTATTTAAAACTCTGGTGACGTTTATTTTACTCCGCTCCAGTTGTTCCTTTATGAACTAAGTGAAGTCGCCCTCCACGGTATTCAGTTACCGTTTTAGCAGTTTCTCCAGAGGACTGAACAGCCTGTGAATCTACGCAGTACGCGGTGTATGCTGATTTACTCCCCAGTCAGAGATCAATTCCTGAGGAAATTAAAAAGGTTCAATTTAAAAATTGGGACAATTACCAGAAAGTGCTCAGGGTATGTTGGAGAATGCATTAATGAGCAGCTGGACCGTACGGTGACACTATATCGGCAAAGCACCTGTCTGAGCTTTTAGTGAGTGCCTGCACTGCCAGCGTAGTGTATTGTGTAAAACCAAAATGCGATTGGCTTTCCTATCACAGCATACATAAAAGCTCTTTCAAAAATCATGTTTTACATTTTGCTTGCATTGAAGTTACATGCAACTAAAGGCAAAAAGTTTCCTCATGCAATTATTTTCTTTGCCTTGTCTGAAAGCTTTCGAACGCACATACCCCAAGCAGTCATTCCTGGCGCGTGCATCTAAGCAAGGAGTATCCTACTCCACCTAGACTCGAAGCAGAAGCCAGATATCTGGGGTAAAAAAGGGAATTAACTCCGTCCACAAGAGTTTATTTAATTAGACGTAAAATAGACGGAAGTATGCGTACAAAAGGCTGATTTTAAGCCGCGATTACACAAGTGACATATGAGATTACTACCATGAAGGAAAATGCGGGTAAATCGGCCCGCTTAAATATAAGAGCAAATCTGCAATTAGTATGACGATAAACGGTTGCTTTGCTACTAAAATTATTATCGTCTTCCCCTGAAAAAACTGTAGGCGTTCCCAGAAATGGAAATTGCTGTACAGAATCGTGACAGAACGTGTACTACGAATGGAGTAGGCGTCGTAAATGTCATCCAGCCGATTATTATATATGTTTATATTTTACCTACTTAATATTTGTAAGTACATACTTTGATTTGAATATTACTATACTCCCAGTGGTATCGGATAAAGTTGTAGGTTGACTTTATTGGGCACTTTCAGCCAGACATTGCATCGGCTGTTCAATTGGCTTCCAACGTCATCACAAAGAATCCAACAGTGAGCACGCATGGCCAGCTATCCCTAGCTCTTGATGTCCTTTGGATGCTCATCGTGGCAGCCGGTGCAGGCACGGGCCCCATTG